ACATTTTACATAATTGACTCTACAATAATTGATTAATTTTGCCAATAGACTTGATAATTATAAGTCAAAATAATTGCACAACCACACAATCAGTACAGTTACTCTTATTCATTGTCATACAACTGTCCCCTTCATTACATAAATACATAATAAATAACACATATTCCAAAAATATATCTCTGATATAAGTGTAAATAATTTAAATAATACAATAGTAAAGAACATCACTTTCATCTGACAAACAACCACAATATACCTATCTCTAATTCATTGGATCAAATCTGTTCTCCTCAAGAACTTCCCGTTTATTGTCAAAACAACTGCAATAGCACATTAAAGTTCTCCAATCAACAATATATGATATTTTTGCAACCATGACCTACCATCCATCAATTAATAGAGTACCGGCATGTAAGTAATGTTCGTTTTGATTTATTTATCTGCTCATTTATTAATTTATTACAATATAATATTACTACTTTATACCAATTGTGGGTCTTACTTTGTCTTACCTTGTCTGTTAATACCTTTTATATATTCAAATTTATTCATTTGAAAACCACAGACATGTAATATTGGCATAATTACTATAATTTGTATGAACTAACTTATTTATTTATTTTATCTTTATTAGACACCACCCTAATTGGGTTTATTTTATTGCAGCATTAGTTTAACTTTGTATCTGGACCTGAGGATGCTTTGCAAATTGTAGAAAGCGAAACCGGTCGTCAGATTGTTAAATTAAATTGATTGTGAGTAAGTCTTATTATTATTTCTTTACCTATTTCAAAATATATAAGTTGGATAGCATCATACAAGTTTTTTATCGATGGTTGCAATCTCTGTATCTCGATTAATAGTTTTGCAAGCTCACGCATTTTTCTAGAACACACATTTATAAGATGTTTTTCTCTATGGTTTTTGAGGTAGCGAGCTCCAAATTTGCAAATCAGATGATCTTTTTTTGGCAATTAAAGAAATATTATCTGCCTGCATTCTCGGAAATACAGTAAGTTGCTTGTCAACCGGTAAATATTTTGTTAAAAGGTCCTGTGCGTCGGCTAAATGGGAATATTTAGTTTTTCCACCAGAGTTTTGAATGCAGTTTTTAATATGTCTCCATAGTTGTTTAGGTTTATTATATTTTTAGTATATTATAGTTTAGTATATTTTTGTCATCATCGGGATGATTGGACTTTTTTACGGGTTTTATGCAGGTGTCAATATTTTTTAAATAATTTCCTTGCTTTCTTAATACTGTAATCAATTCTTTTCTTTTTTTATTATTCGGTGGCAAGGCTAAAAACCTTTGAACTTCTATTTCATTCGAATGATTGCGTAATAAGTGGCGTGCAAAATTTTTTACGTCTGTTTCACAAAAAATACACATATCTGCCGTTCTTTCACGTTTTTGCCATTTTCTTTTCATTGTATTCTTTTCGTGACTTCCAAGTAGTTCCTCGTTATCTGACAAAAAACTAATAGCTACTAATTGTCCAGATACTGAATGATCTTCATTTAGCGTTGACGGTGCGTCCAATTTTCGCTTCCTCGGGTTCCTTTCACTAGAAGTCACTTCAATAAATTGGTGAAATATTATTTGAAGAAAATGAGGTATTTTTAGACTCTTGTAATTGATTAAATGGCTTCTTGTGAAAAACAATTGAATCTTTGTCTTAAGACAGATAAGAAGAGGAATCGGAAGGCACTGAATCAGGAATATATTTCGTGTGGCCAGAGGTAAATGATTCATCATCTGTATTAGAAATAAGTTCCGTGATGACTGAACTGTCTGCTTTCCGATCTGACAAGTTGTCTAAAACAAATAATGATTTAGAATTCAACAAACTTACCTGTTATTTTAAACAAAATACTTAGAAATATTTTATTTAACTTGAATATATTTACCCAGAATCTTGGAATTGTCCTTTACAGATTCAGAATTGTACAGTTGTTTAGTTTGTTGTAAATCGTTACTTTTTGATGTTTCATTGTTTTCTTTATTTTCGTTTACTAAGTAAGTCTTATTCTCTTTTTCTTCTATACCAATCCTATCAATGTTTATAATTTGTTTTATTTTTTGTAAACTACTTGTATTTTCTTTCTCGGCCTGTTGATGATCCATTTCTTTACAATCATCTTTGTTATTTAACCAAGTTAATACTGTAAAGAGCGAATATTAAGTTAAGTTTAAACAGAAAAGTGAAAATGTTCATGTAAGTTATTTTTTCTACTCTCTTACTAGTAAATTGTATATTACCTACTATTTGGATGCTAAGTAAATGCATCATTACAGATACTGACACGTAATGACTAGCACGTAATAAAAAAAATTACGCTTCAGTTTTATAAAAATGTGTAATATCACATAAGCCTCGTAAGTCAGTTGGTCGAGTTACCATGGAAACGAATTAACAGACGTTATTTTGACAGATTAAAAATTATTAACCTGTCAATATAAATACAGTGGTAATTTAATTTTTATTTTTATAAACGAAAATAATCGTAGAAAAAGTATAGTACAAAACTTGAGTTGTAAGCTTATTACATGCTTGTAAAATTACTGCGCTCGCCGCTACGCGGCTCGCGCGCAACTTTTTTACTCGCATGTAATAAGCTTCTTACAACTCTCGTTATGTAATATACTATTTTCTACTCTCTTACTAGTAAATTGTATATTACCTACTATTTGGATGCTAAGTAAATGCATCATAACAGATACTGACACGTAATGACTATCACGTAATAAAAAAAATTACGCTTCAGTTCTATAAAAATGTGTAATATCACATAAGCCTTGTAAGTCAGTTGGTCGAGTTACCATGGAAACGAATTAACAGGCGTTGTTTTGACAGGTTAAAAATTATTAATCTGTCAGTGTAAATATAGTGGTAATTTAGTTTTTATTTTTATAAACAAAAATAATGGTAGAAAAAGTATAGTACACAACTTGAGTTGTAAGCTTATTACATGCTTGTAAAATTACTGCGCTCGCCGCTACGCGGCTCGCGCGCAACTTTTTTACTCGCATGTAATAAGCTTCTTACAACTCTCGTTATGTAATATACTATTATTTTTTTCTGTTTATACGTTTATGGTTATGAAAAAATATAATAGGTTTGTAAAATTTTGACTATAAAAGACTTTTTAATTTTAATTTCCAAAATTTCACAATTAAAAAAAGTTTTTGTCTTCTTTAAAGACTGCAACATACTAATATTTTTACTCTCTAACTAATATTTTACGCAGGTGCGCAGTTCGTTCTGTAGCTAGTAAAGTAAGGAATTATTGTAATTTTTTTCAGATTTTTAAAATTATTTTTCGTGCTTGCAAAATCGATCTAAAGTTTTTAAAAAATCCAGAAAAGTAAATGACATAAGTTAACTAAGATTAATCACAGTGCTTAGAAAAGTTATAAATAAGTTGAAAACACGCACCTCCGCTCAAAGAGTGTCATAACATAAAAAAAATAAAAACTGTTTTAGTGTACCAACAGTTTAATATAACTACAAACTCTTATCTCACAAAGTGTCACGTCTATCAGTCAAGTATTGAGATGACACTAGTGTCATTATACAGTTAACCAAAATCAACGACGCGCCGAACACAATGTCATGTATCGGCTTGCGCAAGGTGGTTGTCTATCGAAAATTAGTATAAAGCGTCGTTTGTCGAGTGTAAACAGCATAATGTAATTGTCTTATTCAAAACACTCTGCGAATGTGCTCAAAAAGATTGACGCCTTATCTCCTAGAACAGTTTATGTGATTAGGGTAAGTCATAAATACCTATTTTTTACGATAAAGTGTTCCGTGTTCGTTTATGACAATATACTTGATTGAGGCTAATAAAGAAAGAATATTTTTATATCACTTAAAGTGGATTATATGGACACAAGACAGTATAACGTGAATAAAGTTTTTCAAAAAGTTTATTTATTTTATAATGAAACTGTTTTGGGCCATCTAATGACGATATAAGTGATTAAGGTGATTCAATAAAAAACTTTTTTATTCGACGAAAATGAATGATTACGTTTAGATTTTGACAATAAATTTGATAACAATTTTAGAGTCTTATATCTTTAAAGTTAATGGCCTGTGTTAAAATTGTTTCAGATATTGGTAATTAAAAATTTTAGTATTTGTATGTATTAATTAAGTTATAATAATATTGTATTTAATTATTATTTTTATGTTTTAAGGTGGCTGTACTTTACTTATTATAATGTCCAGATCAAGCATAATCTTAGCTATGTCCCTGAAACAGATCAAGGAGCAATATAATCAAGAAGAAACAGGTTATTCAGAGAGATTGACAATAAATTATAACGATCTTAAACATTCAAACGACAATTCCAATAAAGAAAATACTTTTAATTTTGGTCTAGAAAGTAATTTAAGATTATTTAACTGAAAGTGAACATAATCAAGACAACACAGATAATTCAAAAATATTGATCATCAATCATAATGACCTTAAACCTCTAAACGACAGTACAAATAAGGGAAATACTTTTAGTTTGAGTTAATGAGTTACTTTCAGTTAATATTTAACTGAAAGTAAAGAAACAGATGATTCAGTTAAATATCCGAACTAGGAGAGTGATCCGAAGAACAGGAAAATATATAATTATTTCCTAACTAACGGTCGATTATCATCGAGCACTTCAAGTTCTTCATCGTCCAGTTATAATTCATCCTCATCGAGCTCGTCATCCTTGTCAAGTGGGGAAAACAACTATAAAGAACGTCCTTCTACTTTACAGACCTCTGATGATAGAACTCACTAACAAAAAGAGTTTGAGACAGAAGAATTGAAGACTACACATAAAAAACAGCGTACTGAAGGACAATGAAAGCAAAATGTGATTAAACTTTTAAGAAATTTAGGATTAGCTTATCAAACTAAATCTGGACGAGCTATTTCTAAAAAATCAATTAAAGAAGGTTGTGGAGAACTTTGTAGATTAAAATGTGGTTTTTACTCGCGGAACAATGCTCAAATTATTTGAAAGTTACTTGGCCTTGCAAGATTTAGAAAAGAAGAGGCAATTCTTATATAAGCATTTAAAACCTATCAAAGTTATGTACCGCTATGTCCAAGCAAAAAATCCACGAAAAGAGAATTATGCTTTCTACTTTGAAGTTGAAGGTGTATTGAAACGGGTTTGCAAAACCATGGTTAAAAATACCTTGGATATTAACGACAGACCCATCAGAACTGTAATAGACAAATCGGAGGGAGTGTTTTTGAAAGGAGACCAAAGAGGGAGGCGTAAGAAACACTTTACAGTTTGCGAAACTATTAAAAATAAAATTAGAGTTCATATAAAATCAATACCTAAAATAGAAAGTCATTACTTGAGGGCACAAATTTCACGTGAATATATTGACGGAGGAAAGACCATTACTGATCTCCATAGGGATTATGTGGACCAGTGCAAACGAGATGGTTGTTGATGGATGTTTTATTTAGTTTTGTTACTTTTAGTTAAACTAGGATATTAAAAATAATAATGTTACATTTTGTATTGCTAAAACCACTTTAAATAAATAATATTTGGTAAATCTTTCTTTATTTTATCTGTTTAGTGTCACAACTCAAAAAACAGAATTTTTTTTTAAATTTTTAGTTAAACAAGTCAAGATACATAATATCTACTGTAATGTGCATTATATGCAAAATTTAAATATAATTGTATAGTTACCACGTGTTCACTGCTGCGTCTAAATCTCAGATAAAACTAATTCACACTACGAATTACGTACGTTAAACGATGATGCCCTGTTGCCAAGCCTACATGACGCAGCAAAATCGGTATGGTGAAAAACAATATAATATACAAGCCCCGACTCTAGCGCGTAAATCGTGACATTTGAGAACTAAATTATACACTATTTTCTACTGTTCCAACATTTTAACGTCCGGCTGAAAATTTGCTTGCACGCATTTAATTCCATTTTGTATAATATTACTAAGTTTGCATTGCTGCGTCTGTATACGGATGCAGAAATACGCAGGACGCAGCTTTACATGCAAAAACATAAATGTATGGACGCATCATTGTAGGTAATATATATATATATATATATATATATATATATATATATATATATATATATATATATATATATATATATATATATATATATATATATATATATATATATATATATATATATATATAATAACGGATTAATTACGGCTCTCGCCGCTTCTCCGCTCCCAATTTCCATCTTTTTCTGTCATACGCAGTTGCCTCTTTTAAGTCTCTTGCTGCCATTGCTTCATCAATATCGTTGCGTCAACTTCTCCGTGGTCGTCCTCTCTTTCTTCTTTCAGGAGGGATCCATTCCAGTACTCTTTTAGGCCATCTGTACTCTGGCCTTCTTTTAACATGTCCGAACCAGATTAATCGTTTTTTTTTTTCTATGTCATCATTAATATTTCGCTCCATTTTCATTTCGTTTTTTATTTGTTTGCTCCTAACTCTTTCTAGTTTCGATCTACGGAAGCTTCGTCTCAGATAATCCATTTCTGTCGTCATAAGTTTGTTTTTATTAGCTTTGGTGACGTCCCATACTTCCGAACCGTAAAGTGTAATACTTTGGACTATACTACCGTAAATGTGTTTTTTGGTTTCTCGTCAAATTCGTTTCTGTCAGAGGAGAGAGTTTAAGGCACGGGTCGCTGGTCTACGCTTGTTTATTCTGACCTGATTTTATCTGCGCTATTTCCCTTCTTATTGAAAATGACCCTCAAATATTTGCAGGATTGTACACCTTTGATTTTGTCGTCTTCCAAGACTAGGTCACATATTTCATCTGTTACCACTGATAGATATTCACATTTTGTCATATTTATGTTTAGACCTGCCACCTCATATTTTTCTTGCAGTTTTCTTACCATATAGCTAAAATCGTAGCTATCTTCGGCAATTACTACCTGGTCATTCGCAAAGAAAAGTGTATATAGCGTGTTTTCTTCCACCGTTATTCCCATTATTCTACATTTTTTACCCATTTCACTAAGGCTTCATACCTCTTTGTCCCTCCTATATAGTTGTCTAGGTATTGGCATTTTTGTTCCCATGCACTAGTTTTCTTTGTAACGACTACTCGTTTGACTTCTTTATTCAAGTTTTTATATTGTTGTTTTGTTTGTTCGACTCCCTGTTGTAATAACTTTTAATATACTTCCTTCTTTCTTTTTGTCTTTTCTTCCACTTCTTTATCCCACCAATATGGTTTATCTACTCTCTGTACCTGTGGCCCTAAGGCTTCTAGCGCTGCGTCTTTCATGCAGTTTTTTATATGTCCGTATTCATCCGTCCATGATCTCTGTGATTCCTGTAGTTTTTGTGTTAGTCTCCAGGAGTAAAGTAATTGTGTGCTCTCGTTAACTAAATTGTCTAAGGTGTACGTCGTTCTTTCTATATTTTCTCTGTGTTTTTTGTTGATGTCTGTGTGATTTCTGTCTACGAATGGTGTATATATTTTTCCTTTTATCAGGACTCTTAGCTATTTACGTCCTGTACTCTTAGCTTAGTTTGTTATCTTGTTATGAAATAATCTATTATCGATTTTAGACCTCTTGTGTGCTGATACCAGGTGTATTTATGTATGTTCTTGAGGGCAAAAAAGCCATTCAAAATCTTTAACTCATATTGTTGGCATATATTTATGAGTCCTTCTCCGTTAGTGTTAAGAGTTTCTTCTCCATGCATGCCTATCACTTTACTTTGTACTTGTTTTCCTACTCTGGCAATAAGGTCTCCTCCGCATATAATCTCATTGCTGTTAGGAATTTCGTTCAGGATTTTTCTAAAGTCTTCTTCAAAAGCTTCCTTTTCTTGTAATGAGTAGTCCTCATTTACGGCATATACCACCAGAATTGTTATTTGTGTTCCTCTTAGGAGAATCGGCAGTCCAAATTATACTGAAACAAAATAGCACAGAAGCCATTATCTTTTCTGACTCCAAAAGTGCACTACAAAAAATAAAAAAACTGGGTTTTTTTTATTTTTAAAAAAATCTTACTAGCATAAATCTCAGGACACACTGGTATTACTGGAAACTACAAGGCTGACCAACTTGCCGATATAGGTCGTTTCCTTAATATTCCCACGAATATCAAACTACAGTTTTCAAATTTTACACCCTACTTAAAAAAAAGATTTGTTCTAACTTGGCAGCTGAACAGTACGAAGGGAATGGCACAAGTAATTTATTCTATGTCAAACTTAATAAAAGAATCCATACATTACCATGGTTTAATAAACTCACAATCCTCAAAAATATAAATGAAAATACATAAAACACCTTATGCAACTTTATTTTTACCTTCAATATAAAAACATAAATTATGATTTTCCTTCTTTCAGTCCTCGATGCTTCTACTTTGTCCGTCGGTAGCATTTCTGGTGTATCCAAAGCTGGGAGGCTACCCCGAGCGAGAAAGATTTATACCTTTGTTGTGTTGTCTTACTAAAATTTTAGCCTGTGAAGAATATATAAACAAAAAATACCAGTACAAGTATACATGTAGAATAACCCAAAACAAACAAGCTAGACACTGATTGCTGAAGCAAGACAAAAAGTGTCTACCCTCGAAATAAACTGGGTAAATTGTCTAGAACGTAGTCCAAAAATAAGTTGTATATTCTTCTACAACTTTCATGTTAGATCTTTGTTCTGTAATCCTATAAAGTTTTTAAAAAACTCATTATATAGTATTAACAATAGCGTATTTATTAAAGCTATATGAGAATTATTAAAAATTGAAGTGGAACAAGCAGCGCTACGAAATAATAGATGGTTTGATTTGATCTAATATAGAAACCAGAACTTGCATTACTAAACAGTATGACGATGATCCAATTTCATTTGTATTTGCAGAAGAAGTTAAAAAAAAGATAATAGATAACTACCTAAATAAAGAAGATATGTTAGTAAAACGGATGGCTCTTTTGTTATAGTTTAATATTTTAAGTACTAGAAACATATTCAGAAAAATATAAACGTGCTCTTTTTCGAATGTTTTTAAGTGAAACTATATTGTATTAGAATCCAAAATTGAATTTATTTCACATGACATGATACAAATTTGGTAATCTGCTCAAAATATGAATATTAAAGAATGCTATCTGTAGTCGTAACGAGTTAATATTAATCCAACAAATTTCATCTCCATAAAAAACGACCAGCTTGTTGATTAAAGGTATGCCTAAAATACCGAAGCGTAAACTGTGAACTCGAAGCTGACAGCTACAAATCAAAATATTGCGATGCCAATTTACCTGCTCTATTTTGACCGAATTTTCAATACCCACGAGATTTTAATGCCTGGATAATTTAGAAACAATTCGCTGCGACCTTTATGGTAATTTCGATGTATTTGAATATGGAATGTCACTTTTTGAAACATTCGTATGTTACTTTTGAGAAACAATGACTTAAAAGAATTTTTTGTTGCAAAATACAATATCCTGGTAATATTACAGTATAATCCAACATAAATAGTACTGAACTTGTAATTATATATAATTATATATATATATATATATATATATATATATATATATATATATATATATAACACTGTTTTTGATGGGTTGGAGTCAATAAAAGGGGCTATTTGTTGACTATTTTTTACTCGAGCTTTCAATTGTGATTACAATTTTTATCAAGAGCTTCTAAAAAATACAAAATGTCTTACAAAGTTGAACTAGAAATAAAAAATTTTTTGTTAACTCACCAAATAAAATTAGTTTTTTATATAAACTTTGTAAGACATTTTGTATTTTTTAGAAGCTCTTGATAAAAATTGTAATCACAATTGAAAGCTCGAGTAAAAAATAGTCAACAAATAGCCCCTTTTATTGACTCCAACCCATCAAAAACAGTGTTATATTTTTTCCAAACGAGTCACAAGTACTTCTTTTTTCTTACTCTTATATATATATATATATATATATATATAATATATATCCAAAATATATATATATATATATATATATATATATGCCGTATATATGTATATATATATATATATATATTATATATATATATATATATATATATATATATATATTATATATATATATATATATATATATATATATATATATATATATATATATATATATATATATATATATGCCGGTTTAGAACGGCCTTCTCCGTTGTCCGACACCTAACTTCCATCCTCTTCTATCATGGCAATCTTTCGTTGATAGATTCCGTTCGCTTATTGACTTTTTTATGTTTTGCTGTCACTCTAGTTTGGGTCTTCCTCGCTTTTTATTTCCTATTGGGGTCCAGTTCAGTATTTTTTGGGCCATCTAGTATTTTGATCGTGTCCTGGTGTGAGCGTGTCCTGGTACGGACACGCTCTACGTGTCCGTACCAGGTAAGTTGTTTCTTTTCGATATCCTGAATTATCGTACCTTCTATTCCCA